TTTGAAAAATAATTAAATAATAAATTTTTATGGAATATATAATTTTTGGACCTGGACATTGTCTTTTTGGACCTGTATATATTTTTTGGACCTAACCGTATTTTTTTTTGGGATCTAGGGTCACCAAAAATATGGGGAACTAATTTATATGTTTTTTGGACCCTATAGAATATTGTTTTTGGACCTTTATGTGTTTGTATTGGACCGATGGATTTTTTTTTCGGTTGTCAAATTAATTCTTTCGGAGTTCGGTTTCTATTTTTTGAACCCGTAGACCTATTTCGTGGACCTTGCCTCCATAAGATGGGGGGGGGGGGAAATTCCATTGTTATAAACGCTTTCACTGGCCTGGATACTTTTGGACCTTGGCGGCTGGCGCCTTTTTTTTTGAATTCGTACACACGTTTTTTTGGACCTGACACAGGGTGGGGGGAATTTAGATATTGAGACAAGATGCATGCAAGAAATTGTTGATGCTGGAAAAATCCGGATATTGAAAGACCAAAAATATTAAAAATGTAAGAAACGGTGGAGAGGCTAATGGGGGAAGTCTACGTATGAAGCGAATTGGATGCAGGAAATTGAGAGGTACATAGGGAAAAGGAAAAATTCGATATTGAAACAGGATGAATATAACAAATTCTTGAGAGATGAGGGGTGAAACCTAGATATTGAAATAAAATGAAGATATATGAAGATATATGCAAAAAAAATTGAGAATCGCAAATTGAATTTTTGGGACCCGAAAATGAATGCTGGAACAGGATGGGGGGAAATTTAGATATTGAGACAAGATGCATGCAAGAAGGTGTTGAGAGAAATGGGGGAGTATGTAGATATTGAAATCAGGTAACCGCAGAAAATTGGTGAGAAAGAGGCAGATGGGAGAAGGGGAAATTAGATATCGAAACAAAGATGAATGTAAGAAGTTGTTGAAACGAGAAGTAAAGGTTTCAATATTGAACCCAAATGACGGTGCATGTAAGAAGCTGTGGGGAAACGAGGGGGGGAAATTGAGATA